TGGGAGTCCAGCGACATAGCCATTACGCTAACTGCTGGTTCCCCCCAGAGTTACTTTTTATGGAAGATGCAAGTCTATGAGTTTCTCAAATCTGCGGACTGCTGAATCATGGAGATTATGTTGTGTAGCGAACATATTGTCACCACACTGAAAGCCTCTGGCTTTGTAAGCGTAGGAACTCAGTGTTAATAATGACTCTTTAAGCAATCTGCTTGCAAATTGACTCATTTTATTCTCATCAAATATCACAATAACCTCTGGTGCTATTTATGCTGTAGAAAAATGTCTGAAGAAGCAGTATGTGTCATTCAGAAGATCAGCAAGACCAGGCTCAGAGACCAGTGCTCTGATAATAGATCTCTGTTCCCATCTGTGAAATGAGGGCATTAGACAAGATGATCACTATGGGACCTTCCAACTTGAAGGTCCTTGAGTCTAATGCCTGATGTGTAATTGATTAGGGGACGCTCTATGGAAAACCCAAGTGGAACGTGGACACACTTGCCACTGCCAGCCCTGGTTTGATCCTCCTGTGAGGAGCACATGAGAAGCTCTGAACTAAGTGTCTCAAGATTTATGTGTCTCATCCGGGAAACACTTTGAAAGTTCTTAGTCTGTAATGATAAGTGTTTTTGTATATCTGTTTAAGAATATGATACAGGGGCAGTGAGTAGTATAGTGGTTAAGGCACTGGACTTCTGCATGGTTGACTGCGGTTCAAGTCCCAGACCCAGTGGCTGAAACTCATGCCAGGCACATGTGCATATGTGACCAAAATTCTGAGTGGAAAATGGAGGAGAAGGGATTGATGTCTCACTTTCTGTTGCTCTCTGTCTCTCCAGCTAGCACGTGTGCCCTATAGTAAAAAATCTCTAAAACAAAGAAAAAATACAGAATACATACATTATATAATGTACAAATACATTTATATACATGTATGTGCATATAGGTACACATACATATATAATGTGAATTATATAATATTAATTATGTATTATATATTCAATCATCTATTAAAATATTGAGAGGGCCACATGGGGTTGCAGCAGTAAAATACAATTCTTTACATAACAAACTCCCATAGGAAGGAGAAGTTCCTGAGTCCCATGATCTGGGCAGGATAAAGCTGCGGGTGGATGGAAGCATCAAGACCCTGTTGGTGGAGGGAGGGTGCTGTACCTCTCTCTCCCTCTCTTTCTCATATGGAGTAAATAAATAAACTTAAAAATATATATATATTAAGAAACTTGGACTTAGTTTCCCAAATAAAGTAGTCACTGGGGTTCTAACTCTTGGCCATTTAATTAAGCAGCTTGCCTGTGTAGGCACATACACATACAGTGGTTTCTCTGCAGGCCAGGAGCAAGCCCTTTTCAGCCTGCCCTTCGCAGTTCAAGGGAGCTCATTCTCCCTTAGCTCAGTGTTCAACATGCGTATACATTGAGACTCTGGGCAACCAGGCAGAGGACAGGTAAGGACAAGGGCAAAAGCATGACATTGTAATTGATAGAGAATAAAAGGAGAGTGGAAGATGAAGGGAGAGTGGAGGCTTTAACCAGCCTGAGGCCTTTGGTGTCCTGTGACTTCAATGTCATTGTGTAACCAAAGGATCAAAATATGGTCAAAATGAGTGATGGCAGCCTACTTTTTGGCATATTCTAAGAGTATGCAAATTGAATTGCAATATTTGTAAGCATTCTAAGTGATATATCACCTTATGACTTTACTTTATGATTGTTAACATATCTTTTTATCAACAGAAAATGGCTGTAAAGGTAATTGGGAAAAGAATGAGCAGATTGGAAGTTGCTACCAATTTAATACTCAGGCAGCTCTTTCCTGGAAAGAAGCTTATGTTTCATGCCAGAACCAAGGAGCTGACTTACTCAGTATCACCAGTGCTGCTGAATTAACTTATCTTAAAGGTAGGTTCAATTTAAATGTAGTACAGCAAATTCCTGAAATGATACTACTGTCTTATTTGTATATCCGGTGTGTTATTTTGTATTTATCTTGGAATTTAAACTTCAACACTAAAGCCCACAAGCAAAAATAAAGCACTCTACATAATCATACTCCATCCATTGAAAATGCCTCTGGTGCTGGAGAGTAAAGAAAAATAGATATTCAGAAAATGAGGTAGGGTAGCAAGATTAAACTGTTTCCCTAATCTTAAGTAAAAAGATTTGCAAGAATATTAAACTCTGAATATTGAAAATATTCAAGAAAGATAAAGAAGACGGCTGAGTCATATTAAGTAGTTTCAGTAAGAAGTTCTTACGTTTGTATGACAGAGTGTGGTCCCCAAGGGCAAGGAGACTAATCAAAGTGGGGCCAGGCTGTGGCATGGTGGTTAAGGCAGCTGGATTTCACATGGCTTGCTGCACAGTTTGAGTTCCTGGCCCAGCAGTTTGAAAATCATACCAGGTATGTATGCATGCATGCCCAAAATCCCAAAAGAAGGGAAAGATGGAGGAGAAGAAATTGTGGTGTTGCCATCCCCTATTGGAAGGTACTTTTTCACTTTCCCTCTCTCTCTCTGTCACTCTTTGTTAAGTGCATGCATCCTCTGAGAAATCTTTTTTTAAAGAGAAGAAAGGAGAAAAAAGGAAAGAAGGAAGGAGGGAGGGAGGGAGGAAGGAAGCAAGAAAAAAAAAGGTAGGTTTTATACTATGGACACAATGGAAAAGACAGGATATTGTTTTGTTTGCAATTTGTAAACAAAAATGTTTATATTATCTTTAAAAATCAAGAAACCTACATTATTGAATCCCTGATTATTGATTCTCTGACTGCCAAAATTAGTAGTACCATTTGATGTTGTACTATATAACGACTCAATGAAGGTTTTATTATGCTCATTTTGCAGATGAGCAATGTGAGGCTCAGAGAAGAAATACAGCTTGTCCAAAGTCAACCACAGTAATTAGCAGAGTCTGAATTCGAATAGTCTAACTTGAAAACAGGTTGTATTAGGCATGCACATGGATTCATCTTCTGTAAGACTTTAAGTTATTTACAATCAGAGATGGGTCTTAGGGGTTGTATTTTACTTTTGAACCAAACTTCAAGTATTATTGCTAGATATTAAACACATACCTATTGACTACATAATTCAGATAAATCCTGTCACATTCTAATAATTAAATATTTAATAAATGGTAACCATGCACAACGCCCTAAGTTTTCTAGTTAAATAAATTAATCCTCACTGCAACCTCACAAGACAAGGGTATTTTTTGGGGGGGAGAGGTTTTTTTTGCTATAGCACTCGCCAGAAAGACAGAATGAGACAGAGAGACAAAAAGTGAGAAATCACCCCCCCACCCCCAGGGCAGATAGCCACGCTGCAATCCCTTCTCCTCCATTCTCCTCTCGGTATCTTAGGCATGCACACACACACACGTCTGGCATGACTTTAAGCCACCGGGTCCAGGACTCAAACTGTGATCGACTACATGGGAGTCCAGTGACATAGCCATTATGCCATCTGCTGGTGCCAACAAGACAAGTAGTTTTATCACCAGATAAAGAAAGTAATATCAACAAATAATATACCCGACATCACACAGGTAGGAAGTACCAGAATTGGAATTTGAATATCAACCAACATACACACAGAATTGCATAGCCTTACTTACTCCTCTTACATGTTTTTATTTCTTTTAACTATAAAAACCACTAGTCTTTTGTCATGCTTTTTAGCTAGAGCTTTATTCAGACCTCCTTTCTTACTCATATCTCTTTTTTCTGTATTGTCTACAACTTTAATAATCAGACTTTTAGAATAAAAACCTGTCAAATAAGTCTATTGGGCTAGTATCTATCTGTGAAATCCTATCATAGACTTCACTCACTGAAGCATTACCAAAAAAAATATTTTTGAGAATGGAAAATGCCAAGATATTTAAGTCTCCTAGAATATTGCCATTTGGTAAGTGATAACCTCAGTGAAGGAGAGAAGTGTCAAACTGTGATTACCAAATAATCTAGTGATATATTTGGAGCAATGACAGTTGAGCAATTCTTTATGTATCAGTCTTCTTTAATAACTAATAAAAGGGAGGAAATGTATTAAAGGAACATATTGTTCCCTGTACTGGCCAGACACTCTCCACATTTGATGCATATCAGTATTATTAAAGGTATATCCTTTCTATTGGTTGAAGGTCTTCTTTCAGTATAGAAGTTATTTAGGTAGATCAGTATGCCTATTTATGATTATTGGTTTCCTAAGAACCAAGAAAGCTATGTTTTAACATCTAAAACTCAGAGTATCCGAATCTTGAAATTTATATTGTGTCTAACAGCACAACATAAATTAGTGAAAACTACTTTCCTGAATGTAACTATATATAAACATTGGCCTAGAGATATTGAGTCCAATAAAAGTGACCCAGACAGAGATTTTGTAGTCAAGGCACTTGATCTAGCTAGGGAAATAAAAGCTGTACATATGCAGAGCATAATGGAGAGTATTATTCCCAAACAGCCTCTGGGTTTTGTAGCTAGTAGTTAGATGGATCTAGGGAATCTATTGCCAGAAAAATAGCAGAATCAGCCCCTCCTTGATGATAAGTCTCATGCATTCTAAAAGAGCTTTCTTTTTATTTCCTGCCTGCCCTACACCTAATTAGTTTTGTTTTGATTTTGTTTCTCTGATACGTGAGGCCTAGGGGTGATAGCTTTGGTTTCTGTGTGCCAGCTGGATTTTTTAGGAGGAGTCAGTTGCTGGCCTTCCCAGCAACTCTAAGTACTCCAGGGCTACAAAAGTGGACTCAGCAATTTCCTGAGTGGGAATAACATTTCCAATTTACCTCCACTCTGAAGAGATCGACTACATGGGAGTCCAGTGACATAGCCATTATGCCATCTGCTGGTGCCAACAAGACAAGTAGTTTTATCACCAGATAAAGAAAGTAATATCAACAAATAATATACCCGACATCACACAGGTAGGAAGTACCAGAATTGGAATTTGAATATCAACCAACATACACACAGAATTGCATAGCCTTACTTACTCCTCTTACATGTTTTTATTTCTTTTAACTATAAAAACCACTAGTCTTTTGTCATGCTTTTTAGCTAGAGCTTTATTCAGACCTCCTTTCTTACTCATATCTCTTTTTTCTGTATTGTCTACAACTTTAATAATCAGACTTTTAGAATAAAAACCTGTCAAATAAGTCTATTGGGCTAGTATCTATCTGTGAAATCCTATCATAGACTTCACTCACTGAAGCATTACCAAAAAAAATATTTTTGAGAATGGAAAATGCCAAGATATTTAAGTCTCCTAGAATATTGCCATTTGGTAAGTGATAACCTCAGTGAAGGAGAGAAGTGTCAAACTGTGATTACCAAATAATCTAGTGATATATTTGGAGCAATGACAGTTGAGCAATTCTTTATGTATCAGTCTTCTTTAATAACTAATAAAAGGGAGGAAATGTATTAAAGGAACATATTGTTCCCTGTACTGGCCAGACACTCTCCACATTTGATGCATATCAGTATTATTAAAGGTATATCCTTTCTATTGGTTGAAGGTCTTCTTTCAGTATAGAAGTTATTTAGGTAGATCAGTATGCCTATTTATGATTATTGGTTTCCTAAGAACCAAGAAAGCTATGTTTTAACATCTAAAACTCAGAGTATCCGAATCTTGAAATTTATATTGTGTCTAACAGCACAACATAAATTAGTGAAAACTACTTTCCTGAATGTAACTATATATAAACATTGGCCTAGAGATATTGAGTCCAATAAAAGTGACCCAGACAGAGATTTTGTAGTCAAGGCACTTGATCTAGCTAGGGAAATAAAAGCTGTACATATGCAGAGCATAATGGAGAGTATTATTCCCAAACAGCCTCTGGGTTTTGTAGCTAGTAGTTAGATGGATCTAGGGAATCTATTGCCAGAAAAATAGCAGAATCAGCCCCTCCTTGATGATAAGTCTCATGCATTCTAAAAGAGCTTTCTTTTTATTTCCTGCCTGCCCTACACCTAATTAGTTTTGTTTTGATTTTGTTTCTCTGATACGTGAGGCCTAGGGGTGATAGCTTTGGTTTCTGTGTGCCAGCTGGATTTTTTAGGAGGAGTCAGTTGCTGGCCTTCCCAGCAACTCTAAGTACTCCAGGGCTACAAAAGTGGACTCAGCAATTTCCTGAGTGGGAATAACATTTCCAATTTACCTCCACTCTGAAGAGTTTTTTAATTTAACCCAACTTGAAAGGTGCTCCAAGGCTAAGGCACTTCTAGGTTAGAGCCCTTGATGGCTGTTGCCTTTCTGATGCAGTAGGAAAGGTCTTTTCTGGCTCATTCCAGATGCATGATTATTATAAGACACTGCAGTCTCAGGACCAGTAAATGGCATAATGGTTATGTCACTGGATACCCACATGGCCAACAGTGGTTTGAGTCCCGGACCTGGTGGCTTGAAACTCACACCATGCACATGTGTGTGCATGCCCAAGATCCTGGGAGGATCATGGAGGAAAAAGGGTGGCTGCATGGCCATCCCCACCCCAGGGGGGTGATTTCTCATTTTCTGTCTCTATGCCTCTCTCTGTCTCTCTGACAAGCGCATGCACCCTGTAGCAAAAATCTCCCTTAAAAAAAAAAAAAAGACACTACTGTCTCTCATTGTGAGGAAAGAAATCAAGTATAGAATGAGGTTTAAAGAGGAATCTCTGGAATGGGCAAGAAATATCCATTCCAGTGTACCCATTCATTTGATTAGGTATGGGGTTTTATGCAGCAATCATGTCTGTCGTTGGCAAAGATGGGGATAAACACAGTCTCAAATTCTTTCCTAAACTACAGGTAGAGAGAAAAAAAAAAAAAAAACTCACTCCAAAGTGTGCAGACCATATAAGAAATCTCTTCTCTTCATTTTGTCCAATCAGGACCATTAGAATTGATCCCTTTCCCATCTACATCCACCTGGCAAAAGACACATAAAAAACAATTGTGTTTACAACACTGTCACAATTTTTAAATCAGTCAAATGGTCCAGTACAAATCAGAATACAGTAATGAGTCAAATCAGGAACATGTCAGTTTCAAAGGATCATGTTGTTACTTTATAAATGTGTACTTGACGTGGGCAGGTAAGCCACAGGGTTATTCACAGGCAGCCATCACTTCCTGCAGGCGTATAACTGAAAGGCTTCATGGAAGGAATGCTGTTGAACTTAGAATGAGTGCAAGGGACTGGTTCTCTTCAGTATACACAAGTAGAAATGAATCAAAGGAATTCTGACTGTCAGGATATGCAGAGTCTAGAATACCAGAGTTAGACTTCTTTGGGAATGCTGGGAAAAGTAACATTAGATAAAATCTGTAAAAGTCTTTGTATACCAGTGCTAGCAGCTCTGACTTACGCTTATAAGACAAAAGAGAAGAATGAATCCACAGTTCCACTGAGCATTCTCCTTAAGACGTTTACCCAAATACCCACCTTCTCTGTCCTTTGTAGAGTATTCTGAAAAAAAAAAAAGAGACAACCTCATACTTACAAATTCATAGAATCTTTACTGTCTTTACTGTCATCCTCTCAGCTCCTTGAAGGTTGATTTCTTCCACGAAGCTCTGTAGCCATGTAAACTGTTTCTCCTGTCTCATATTTTTACTAACTTGCACTTCACTACTCCTTTCTAACAGTCTGTAAACTTGTTAAACATCTACCATCCTATTTTTAAATATATATGTATATATATATACACATATATTATTACCATAATATTACCACCACTATATAAATACTTGGCAAATAATATGTGCTTAATGAATTTAAACTGTCAGTCTATTTTTATATTTTATAAATAAAATATAATATAAGTGATATAATATAGAAGTCTGCTTAATATAATATAATATAAATGATATAATATAGAAGTCTGCTTTATATATTTTTGTTTTATATACATATATATACATATATATATGTATATATGTACACACACAAAAAAATAAGATATAGATATAGATATAGATATAGATATAGATATAGATATAGATATAGATGGATTCCCCAGATCCTGCAGCCCTGCCCCTTTCATTTGCAGAGTAGCTCCAGTGCGTTTCCCTCCTAACTTCACATTGCCCCACAGTGGAGCAATAATTGAACTGCTGTCCCCATCACTGCCTTCCCAGGCTCTGCCTATCCCAGGCATGTTGGTGCCTGAGTCACTGCTTTTGGCCCCTTTCTGCTTTGCTGCTATTTCTGCTCTACCTGAGAAAGCTCTTCGTCTTCCTGGGTATCAGTTCCAGTAGAATCATCTGTTTTAGGAATTTGAGTTGTAAAGTCTGCAGTAAGGCAAAGATTGTGCAAAATAAAAATTACCCTCAGAAATCTCTTAAAGTATGAGGTTTTGTTTTCTTTTTGTTTTTGTTTTTTAACTCAAACCACACTGTTTACATATGAGAGTACTTCAAAGTGCATGGAAAATGGAATTAATGTATGAGTTTACTTTGGTGTAAAAAAATTTAATCTGGGGTTGATTTGTTCATAATACACATTTTTCACAAACTTTACGAAAACTTTTATAGATAAATAATTCCCTGAGAAAAATTAAGAAGCCATTACCAAGTGTTCTCCTGCTGGGAATATTTAAACAATTCTAACATGTTGGGACCAGCAGGTGGCATGGTGGTTAAGGAGCTGGAAACTCCCACATGGCTGACCACAGTTCGAGTCCTGGACCTGGTGGCTTGCTTTCTCACTTTCTGTGTGTGTTTGTGTGGGGGGGATATGCATGTGTGCGCACGCATGTCTGGTCAAAATTTGTTAAAATAAATACAATTAAGAATGAATAATTTTTAAAAAAAAAAAATTCTAACATGTTAACTCTTCCTGTTTGTTAGCATCATCTTTGTCTTTGATGGATCATTTTATTGATTGACATCTCTCCTATTCTTCCTGTTTGTTAGCATCATCTTTGTCTTTGGTGGATCATTTTATTGATTGACATCTCTCCCACCTGGTCCTCAATTTTTCAAATTCTTCCTTTGTAAGGTTGATGAAGTCTTACCATATTCCTGAATAATGCTGCCTTCATAGACATTGGTGAAAATCCTACACACCCTTTCACGCACCCTTTTCATCCTTTCCCCAAATGCATAGACCTTTACAAGCATGATTCCACGCATCTGGGACAAGAGGAAAATTGGCACATTGGTGATATATCAGCAACTGACCTTGCTAGCTAAATGATTCCTGCTTCTCTTTCACTCTTTTTACCGATGGCATCTGGTCAGCAAAAAAATACATTTGAATGATGCATTTCCACTACAGCATGTGTGTGTGTGTGTGTGTGTGAGAGAGAGAGAGAGAGAGACTCGTTCTGTATCTCCAACATGAACATTTCTTAGAGTTCTAGAGTCATAGCCATAGCCTACAAAACAGTTCTTAAGCATGCAAATATTTCTGACCTAGTACTAGAACACTTCACTATTTGGGAATCTATACCTGTTTCCTTCTACTAGATTGAAATCATGAGAGCAGACACTTAATCATTTTTGTTTTTATATCCTTAGTACCTGGCAAACAATGTGCTTCATGAATTAAACTGTCAGTGTGGAATATGAACAGATCTTCCAAATCCAGATGTATACTATAAACTGCTTTTGATAGCTTTCCGTGCCTATATGAGAGGGCTAAAAATAGCGAGAGTTGGCCTGTAGCCTAGTGGTTGAGGTGAGCCAGATCCTACGTCGCCAACTGTGTGTTCCTGGCCCCAGTGGCTTTGAAATCACAGTGGATGTGTGTGCTTGTGTGCCCCAAATCATGACAGAATGAAGTGAAGGAGAAGGAATTGCAATCTGACCATGCCCTATCGGAGAATACTTTTTCTCCATCCTCTCTGTCTCCCTGTCTCTGGTGAGTGAACACACACTCTAGCAACTAATTAAAGAAAAAAAAAAAAAACTGAAAACGATACTCTGAGAAAATTCTCTTCTAAGCTTAGAAGAAAGGAAATTCGACAAGCTAATGGAAAAGCAAAATTAAATTAACTTTTCAGCCTTTGGGTTTCTCAACAGTGTCAAGTTTTGTTGTCTATCCGCATTCCCTGCCTTTGTTGTTCTGACAAGTTCTTATATGAATGCCCTACAATCAAGGCTTTCTAGTTATTTATTTATTTATTTATCTATTGCTATTAGTGGAAACCGAAGTCTGATTTAGAAACTAAAGCAGTTTTGTCCCTTTCTAAAATTATGTGATTGTTACAGAAAAAGAAGGCATTGCTAGAATTTTCTGGATGGGCTTGAATCAACTGTACTCTGCTAGAGGCTGGGACTGGTCAGACCATAAGCCACTATACTTTCTCAACTGGGACCCAGGTAACTGCTCCTACCCACACCCCCTTTGCATAGAACAAAAGCTTCAAAAAAGAAAAAGAGTGAACTGACCCATGGTCCAGTGGTTAAGGGTACCGACTCTCTCACGGCCAACTACATGGTTCAAGTCTCAGACCCAGTGGCTCGAAAAACACTGGGCAAGTGTGCATGTGACCCCAAAATTCTCACAGAAGGAAGAAATGGAGAAGGGATTACAGAGTGATTGCATCCCATCGGGGGAATGCATTCTCCTTTTCTCTCTCTATTTCTACCTCTCTCTGGTAAGTGCACATTCGCTTTGGTAAATTTTTTTAAAAAAGAGATAGAGAGCTTCCCATTAGCAGAGAGCTTATAAAAGTTTTCAAATCTTAGCATCTCTTATTATGGTTACCTTTCAGAAGAACTTTTTTCCTATGCCATTGTTGATTGTGGTGTGGCTATAGCTAAGTTGAACCAAACCATCAGCAACAGAACATATGCCCCTGACCTTTAGAGCAGCCCTACATCTTTAGGTCAGAGCAGAATGAGCCCCACTGCATGCCCAGAAGCCACTGAGCATGTCTATGACATCCACGTTGGATTTCATCTGTAGCTTAATTCAAATTTAGAAATATGACTTCATTTTCAACCTCTTGAAGTCTCCCCATTCATTGTAGCACCCAAGGACTGACAATATAATGGTTACATTTCATTACACAAATAAATATGTCAAAGAGTATTTCATAATGGATAAAACAAAGAATAACTCACTCAGACAAAAACCTTTTTTCCCAAAGGATTTATTTCTAAAAAGAATTAAGGACCTTTTAGAAATAAGTACCATTTAGAAATAAATCTGACAGGAGCCAGCAGGGGGCATGGTGGTCAAAGCAGCTGGATACCACCTGGTTGACTGAGAGGTTTGAGCTCTGGGCCTTAAAAGATCTGCTGGGCACATGTGCATGTGTACCCAGAATCCCTAGAGGACAATGAAGGAGAAGGGATTACAGCGTGGTCATCTGGCCATCTCCCCTGAGGGTGCTTTCTCACTCTCTTGCTCTCTCTCGCTCTGTCTCCAAAGCATATATGTGCCCTAAAGCAAAAATTGAAAATAAATAAATAGTAAATCTGACAAATGTAGAACCTAAAAGTTAACATTAATTCCTATATAAATATATTGTGCGCACATACAGGAAAAAAGTTTAAGTACAATAAAATAACAATTAATCATGTCAGTTAATTCTGTTTGCTATTCTTATTAGCAAATAAATTCATACTCTATTATCTCAGTAAGTAGAATTTTAAAAAATAATTTAATCTTAAACTCAAGGTATTAAACACATTAAAGAATCATAAATAAATACTTTTACTGTATAGAGTAGCAGATTAAGAGCCAATGATCACAGAATATGACATGGAAGTCATTTGGGAATAAAGGTTTCTTTTTGACTTCTGGTTTTTAAGTTAACCACAAATTATCAGTTCGTTTCCCCCGTATCCTGCATTTTAGACAAAAAGACATATATAAGTACATGATTGTTCATTGAGGCTTAATTATACTATGAGTTCCTATAAATGCAGAAATTAGGAATCCAGTTGTTCTTTCTAATTACCACCCTGGCCCTAACCTTCTTCTTCTGACTTTCGGAAAATCCTGTCTTCTAAGCTATGCCTAGTGCACCGACAATAGGTGGATCGAGCTGCGGAAGAATGGATGCCGAGTCTGGTCTGTGGCAGAGTTTTTCCTGTGAAGCCCAACTGCCCTACGTCTGCGAAAAACCATTAAATAATACAGTGGAGTTAGCAGGTATGTTTCTCACTTCTTCAAACAATTAGGTTGTGAAATCAAAATTTTGTAATGCCAAGTAAATCTATTTCTGAAACCTATTTCCACATTGCCTTCACCTGATCCTGCCAATGCAGAAAAATGTTTGATTTTTGACTCTGTGATTAGATATTGTCAATTATATTTCAATAAAAATGTAACTGAGGTAGTGAAGAATATAAAGTAAAATAGGTATACATGCTCTTAAAAGTCCATAAGGCAAAAGTATGTTAGAGTGAAAATGTATTTCTGTTCACCAGTGGCTCTTTTTCCTTAGAATACACAGTGGTTCTGTAAGTGTGGTTCCCAACCAAGAGCACCCAGCATCACCTTTATATGTTAAAAATGCAAAGATTTACTGAAGCACGAACTCTAGGGGTCCATGGATTCCAGCAATCTGTATTTTAAGAAGCCTTCCATGTGATCCTGCTGCATGCAAGTCTGAAAACCACTACTGAAGGGACAGGGTCTTTGTTTTACATGCTTCTGTAATGAGTCAAAAACTACAGACACGTTGGTCCAGCAATGCTAGCACAGGTGGTAGGATGCCTCTATGCAGTACTGAAGCCACATGGGAAGTCCAGGTTCAGATCCTGAGTCGATCTCAGTGTACTTGGTGGACCCATGCATGTCCATGCTCCTGGCTGCCTGGCAGACTTTGGGGAGGACTATGCATGGCAGGACCCTGTCAAGGGTCTCTCTCTCAATGTACTTCAAAAAAATAAAAGGGTCCTTGTATTGAAAAATCCTGTAAAAAACCAAGGATGACATGTGTAAGGAGGGGGGTTTACCCAGGAGTTTGGGGGGTGAGACAGAAACCAGAACAGATGAGATTGTATTGCAAAGTTTGAGGAAAGTTTGAAAACGTGAAGAAGAGGAGTGCCCTGACTTTCAAGCATAGAGACTGCATATACCTGCTATTTGATTAAATCCTCATCGAATGAGAGAAACTTATGCTCAAAATTGGTGGTAGGGGAAGATAATTTTAAAATTCTCTGCTTTAACTAACTGTGGGGGAAGGGAATAAAGTATCCTAATTTTTTGACATCCAAAAGGAAACAGAGTAATTTTTATTTATTTATTTAACATTTTTGCCATATGGTGTGTGAGCTCACTGGAGAAAAATAAACAGAGAGACAGTGAGAGGAAAAGTGAGAAATCACCTCCCGGGGGGGGGCAGGTGACCACTCCACAATTTCTTCTCCATTTTCTCCCTGGGATTTTGGGCATGCATGTACATGCACTCAGCATGATTTTCAAGCTGCCAAGTCCAGGACTTGAACCATGGTAGGCCAACTGGTAGTCCAGTGTCTTAACCACTATACTTCCTGCTGGCCCCCAGAGTAATTTTTTAAGAAAGAAAAAAGTATATAGAATAAAGAATGTAGGGAGCTATTTTAAGACAATAGGGGAAAATTAACACTTATCTTCCAAATTGATTCCAACAAATTTATTTCATACAAGAGGCATAATAGAAAAGCTAGCACAAATGAAAATAAACTAGAGCTACTGATGATAGATTTAAGTAAATATCTCACAGTAGCAATTAAGTAAATCATGATGTTTCCACATGATTGAATAATATGCATTTATTAAAATAACTGTGCCAGAAGGAAAATACAAAGAGCAGAACAAAGTGATTATACCTACTTATCATTTTTATCTGATAAAAATATGTATTCATAAGGAAAAAGGCTAGAATATGAAAATGATTGTTTCTAGTTCAGTTATGGGTGATATTTTCCTCTGTTCCTTTGTCATAATTGTAAAATGTAAAAACAAATGCTATTTCAGACCTTAAAATTAATTGACATGGGCCGGCAGGTGGCATGGTGGTTAAGGGTGCTAGACTCCCACATGACCAACTGAGGTTCAAGTCCCGGACCTGGTAGCTTGCTTTCTCACTTTCCCTCTCTCTCTCTCTCTCACTCTGCCCCCCTCTGGTCAAATTTAAATACATAAGTAAATAGTTAAATAAAATAATTATTTAAAAAAATAATTGACTTATCTTACAAGTGCAAGAGACTAGCTAAACCTGAATTTTATTCTTTAGTAAAAAGCAAATTGTCCATATTTTTAAGATGTTGGATTTTCTTTCTTTAAAATAATTATTTATTTGATTTTGTTTATTCATTCATTCATTTTAATTTGACCGGGGTGGGGGTATTGAGAAAGCTAGCTGCCAGTTCCGGTACTCGAACCATGATCGGGCATGTGGGAGTGTCCAGCATCTTCACCACACCACCTGCTGGTCCCAAGATGCTGGATTTTCTTACAACAAATGCTTCAGTGGTTCTGAATCAGTGAAGTCTGAGTAACTGAACCACTTTCTAGTTTCAAGGGCAGAAGTGTTTTGTATGGTTTTATGCTTTTCTTTTTTCTTCTAATCTGGAAAGATTAGATTTTCATTCATGACTTTTACCATGGTCAAAACAAAGAATCACTAATCCCATGAGGAATATCTGTCTGGCAGAGGGGAGAAAAGAGGAAGCCCTGAGATGTCTTGCCCTGTCCCTCTGTCATTGCCATCTCTCGGGTGTGGAGTGTAGAATTGTCTTATTCTGTTCCTTAAATAACTGCCCATCCTTTGCTTAACAGTAATGCACAGCCCCTTGCTAAATAGATCATACAAGAAAAGGAGGCTCAATGCATCATGATCTTCTCAAAGGCAGAGACTGGAGGGAAACCTAACAAATACCAAAGCCAGAAAATGATTTGTAAACAATAACGCTTCTTCTTTCTGGTAGGACTTAAGGATAATCCTTCCCTTGATTGTGTCTACACCACTAAAATCATCTGTGTCCGGCCATGTAACATATTTGTATCACATTAAAGTCACATCATTATCTGAATCCCCACAAGAATTGTTAGGATGTCATATGTACATTAGGTACCACATAAATTCATGTCACTGTAGTATCTGACATCACATTTCCCAGTTTTCCTGAAACTTTTTGTTCCAAAAAAGAATTTGCAATGTTATTGATTCAAAATAGATGTATGGAATATAAATCATTGCTTTTCTCTCAGATGTTTGGACATATTCAGATACCCGCTGTGATGCAGGCTGGCTGCCAAATAATGGATTTTGCTATCTGCTGGTAAATGAGAGTGATTCCTGGGATAATGCACAAAAGAAATGCAGAGCCTTCGGTACTGACCTAATCAGCATTCATTCCTTAGCAGATATAGAGGTGGTTGTCACAAAACTCCATAATGGGGGTAAGTTTTTTTTAATACCTTATTTGAGATGTTTAAGACATTTTAAAGTATTCCTATCTTCAGACTCTTGTTGGAAATGGAAAGTGTAAAATTTAACCCTATAGGTTAGCACAGTCCAATAGGATTTTTTGTGGTAATGGAACAATTCCACAGCCTGCACTGTCCAATATGATAACCACTAGCCACATGTGGCCTCTGAGTACTTACAGTGTAGCTAGGACAACTGAAGGGTTGATGTATACATTTTACTTAATTTTAGGTAGTTTGCATTTAGATTTAAATAGTCGCATGTGCCTAATGACTACCAGTTGGACAGTATGACCATTGACTGGCTCTCTCCATCTTCTCATAAGCTAAATTCTACTTAAGTTGCTCCAAAAATCGAAATGATTTTGCTTCTATAATTTTGTGAAATTTAAAGACTGGTAAAAATATAGTAGGCTGCTAATATTACAACCTCTTCTCATCTCAGGGTTCACCAATAGTAATAGCTAATAGTAGACAATTGTTTTGTGCCAGCATGGTGCTAATTGTTTTATTTATGGAGGCAACAGGGTCATTCCAGGGCAGCTCTGGAGAATATTTCAATTCTAATTGGAGCATCTATAATTGTATTTATAGAATTTCATTAGTCCCCATAATACAAAGTTTTTCTGTACCAGATATCAGGAAGGCCAACCTATAGATCATAGTGCATTTGTTATACTATATATTCTCCCTGCAGAAGTGACTTAGAAAGCCTTCATTACCCAACCTGCCTGCTTATCAATATTTTAATAGGCTAATTAAGAAAACCATAAAGAGCCAGGGAAAAGCGGAGCTGCCCAGCATATGCGATTTTCTACCAGGTCCTGCACCACTTGCAGAGAATGTAATGTACCCAGGCCACCCTGACATCTGCTGGGCCCAGATCCAAAAAAAGAGTGTGTGGGTGACACATATCCACTTGCCTACTACCTTTCGTCTTCCCTCCCCAACTTAGCGCCTAGCCTCATCAGAGCTATAAAGACTTGGAAATAAGAGGGAAAACGGCATGGAGCTGAAGTATACCACAGAGTACACAAGCACACAGCTGAAGAAAGTTACATCAAAGAAAGAAGTGAGTTTTTCACCAAGTGCCTAAAAAGCAAAGCAGAGTTTCAAAAAGTATGAGAAAACCAGGAAGTCATAACTCCCTCAAAATAACATAGTAACTCCTCACCAACAATGGATAAAACACAAGAAATTATGGAGTTGACAGAAAAATATTTCAGAATATTTATCATAATAAAACTGAATGAAATGCAAGAAAAAACGGACAACCAATACCGGGAGATGAGAAAATAATACCATGACTTGAAGGAGGAACTCCATAAAGACATAGATATCCTGAAAAAGACTCAAAAAGAACTTCTGGAGATAAACAATACTAATTAAGAAGACTATACAAGAGGGGCTGGCAGGTGGCATGGTGGTTAAGGTGCTGGACTCCCACATGGCCAGCTACAGTTCGAGTCTCAGACCTGGTGGCTTGCTTTCTCACTTTCTCTTTCTCTCTCTGATAAAATTAAAAATAAATACATAAATAAGAATAATATTAAAAAAATACTATACAAGAAATCAAAATCTCCCTTGAAAGCATTAATAGCATATTAGACCATGAAGAAGGAAGAATTTCTGCCCTGGAAGACACTCTGACTTAGTTATAAAAGAAAAAAAAAAAAAAAACACCAAAATGAATTTTAAATAACCAAGAAATGGGACTGGCCGGTGACATAGTAATTAAAGTGCTGGACTCTAACATGGCAAGTCGCTGTTTGAGTACAGGACCTAGCTGCTTGAAAATCACACCAGGAGTATGTGTGTGTGCCTCCAAATTCCCAGGTAGAGAATGGAGGACAAGAGATTACATTATGGCTATCCCTCCCGGGGCGGGGGGCGGGTGATTTCTCACTTTCCTTCTCACTGCCTCTCTCTGGCAAGCACAGGCACCCCATGGGAAAAAACTTAAAAAGAAAGAAAATATATTTTAAAAAAAAGAAAAAAAATGAGAGTGACATACAGAAAATACTAGACACCATTAAATGCCGAAATGCCTTCATAATGGGTTTTCCAGAAGGTGAAGAGACTGATAAAAAACCTTTTCCATGAAATGCTATCTGAAAAGTTCCCAAATCTAGAGAAACATAAAACATCCAGGATCAGGAAATATCAGGTTGTCAGGAAAGTCATGCTGTATTTTTCTATGGTTTTCTACCCAAGAAAGCATTATGACTTTCCCAATGACCCGATATAATGAACACCAAATAGAATCAATATAAAAAGATCCTCCTCACAATACATCATAGCTAGATTGGTAAAAATCAAAGACAATGATAATAAAAAATGACAAGAGAGAAATACCAGTGTACTTACAAAGGTTATCCTATTTGGCTAATCAGACCTCTCAAGTGAATAATATAGGCAAGGAAAAAATTGGACGACATACTCAAAATGCTTTTAAAAAAAAAAAAAGCAGTTTCAACCAAGAATACTGTACCTAGCAATATTATTCTTTAAATGAAAAGAAGAAATAAAATCATTCTCAGGTAAACAATAACTGAAAGAATTTACCAATACTACACAGCTCCTCAATAAGTACTGAAGGGAGTGCTACATCAGGAAAATGAAAGAGAGACAAATAGAAATAAGAGAACACCAAACAACTGAGAAAATAACTAATAAAATGGCAAGGATAAGTTCACAAATATCAGTAATATCACTGAATGTTAATAGATTAAATTCTCCAATTAAAACACACAGACTAGCTATATGGATAAAAAGATGGGAGCCCTCTACCCGGGGCTTACAAGAAACACATTTCACTGACAAAGGGCTGGAAAGAGATATTCCATGCAAGCGGAAACCAAAGAATGGCTGGAGTCACAGCACTGATATCAAACAAAGTAGACTTCAATATTGTAAGAAGGGACAAAGGAGGATACTATATAATTCTAAAAGGGCTAATTCACCAACAAGATATAGCACTTATCAATATGTATGCGCCCAACACTGGAGCACTCAAATATGTGAAAGAAAGACTGCTAGATCTAAAGGGAGAGGTACACTGCAACACACTTATGGTTGGGGATCTCGACACCCCACTGTCTCTTCTGGACAGATCATCTAGACAAAAAAAGAAACAAAAAGATACAGGATCCAAATGATACCATTAATCAGATGGACTTGATAGACATCTATAGAACATTTCACCCAACAACCACAAAATACACATTTTTCTCACCCCCCACATGGAACATTTTTTAATACTGACCACATGGCAGGGCATGAAACAAGACTTTACAGATTAAAATGTATAGAAACTATATCCAGCATGGTTTTTTTTGGAGGGATTATTTTTTTTGGAGGGATTATTTTTTTTGTTATAGGGTGCATGTGCTCGCCAGACAGACAGAGAGAGAGAGACAGAGACAGAAAGCAAGAAATCACCCCCCAGGGGGGATGGCCATGCCGCAATCCCTTCTCCTCCATTCTCCTTTTGGGATCTTGGGCACACACGCATATGCACACAGCATGAGTTTAAGCCACCGGATCCAGGACGCGAACCACGATTGGCTACGTGGGAGCCTGGCGACATAGCCATTACACTAACTGCTGGTCCCATATCCAGCATGTTTTCTGAACATGATGGAATTAAACTTGAAATAAATTACAGAAAGAACCCTCCAAAATACACGAACACACAGAAACTAAACAACCTACTTCTGAATGACTTCACAACTACTAAAAAAATTAAGACTAAAATAAAAAGATTAATTGAAAGCAATGATAACAAACACATGAGATTTCGTAACTTATAGGACACAGTGAAAACAGTCATAAGACTCAAATTCACAGCAATTAGTGCTCTCAAGGAAAAAATAGAAAAATAGAAAACCTAACATCACATCTCAGGGAACTGGAAAAACAACAACAAAAAAATCAGGAGAAAAGAAATATTAAATATTAGAGCAGAAATAAATGAAATAGAGAATAAAAGAACTATACAGAAAAAAATAAAGCCAAAAACTTGTTCTTTGAGCAGATAAACAAAATTGACATGCTGTTAGCTAGACTGATCAAGAACAGAGAAAGGAACCAGATAAATAATATCAACAATGAAACAGGCAATATAACAAGAAACACAATAGAAATGAAAAAGATCATGAGAGAATATTACAAGCAACTATATATCAGTAAACAAGAAAACCTAGATAAGATGGACAAATTTCTGGGCACATATAATTTACCTAGCGTGAACCTGAAAGAAATAGGAAGCCCAAATAGGCCAATAACAAGCAATGAGATTGAATCAGTAATAAATATTCTTCCAACAAAGAAAAGCCCAGGTCCCAATGGCTTCACTTTTGAATTTACAAAACTTTTAAAGAGCTAACCTCAATTCTCCTCAAATTATTTCAGAAGATGCAAATGGAAGGAACCCTCCCAAATTCATTCTATGAAGCCTTCATCACCCTGGTCCCCAAAGCAGACAAAGACATAACAAAAAAAGAAAACTACAGACCAAATATCGCTGATGAATACACATGCAAAAATTCTCAGCAAGGTATTAACAAATCATATCCAAGAATATAGTAAAAAGATTATACCAGGGGCCGGCAAGTGGCATGGTGGTTAAGAACACTGGACTTCCACATGTCTGACCGCAGTTTGAGTCCCAAATCCAGTGGCTTGCTTTCTCATTTACAGCATTTTTATACAATATCAATGAACAAACCAAGGAAGAATTGAAGAAAGTAATCTCATTTACAATAGCCACAAAAAATTTAATAGTAATAAGATACCTAGGAATAAGTCTAACCAAAGAAATGAAAGACTTCTACAAGGAAAACTATGAAAAACTAAAAAAAGAAATTGAAAATTATATGCAAAAGTGGAAAGTCATCCCATGTTCCCAGATTGGAAGAATATAATAAAAATGTCAATCATACGCAAATTACTTTACAAATTCAATGTAAGTCTGTTCATATTACCAGAGATATTCTTTACAGATATAGAAAAAATAATAATAAAAGGTGTCTGGAACCATAAAAGACCCTGTATCACCAAAGCAATAATGTGCAAAAAGAATAAAGTAGGTGGCATTTCACTTCCTGAATCAAAATATATTACAAAGATGTGATTATCAAAACAGCATGGTTTTGGCAAAAACAGATATGTAGATTAATGAAACAGAATAAACCCCAAAACATACAGGCAACTGACCTTTGACAAAGGACAAAGTATAATCCAGTAGGGAAAAGAAAGTCTCTTCAACAAATGGTGCTGGAAGAACTGGATATCCACTTGCAGAAAAATGAAACTGGACCCTATCTTTCACCGTTAACAAAAGTCATCTCAAAAAAGTTTCAAAGATTTAAATGTAAAATCTCAAACTATAAAACTACTGGTGAAAAGCATAGAAAACTCTCGAAGACTTTGGAGAAGGCAAAGATTTCTTAAATAAGAGTCCGAACGTACAGGCAATAATCCCCAAAATAGACAAGTGGGACTACATCAGGCTAAGAAAAGTTTCTGCATAGCAAAAGAAGCAATAATTAGAATAAAGAGACATACCTCAGAATGGGAGAATATATTTGCAAACTATGCTTCAGATAAAGAACTGATAACCAGAATATACAGGGAACTCAAGTAGCTTACCCACAAAAAAATGAACAACCTAATTTAAAAATGGGCAAATGAGCTGAACATATGAATGGCCAAAAAGCATGTGAAAAAATGCTTAATATCTCTTATCATAAGAGAAATTACAAACACACACACACACACACACACACACACACACACACACAGAGAGAGAGAGAGAGAGAGAAAGAGAGAGAGAGAGAACGAACACAAGAAGGTAAGCAGCCAGGTCCAGGATTTGAACCGCACTTGGCCACATGGGAGTCCAGCACCTTAACCACCATGCTATCTGTGGGCCCTAGCCCCTCTCCATTTTTAAATGTGACCTTCTTTATGGGTGGAAAAGTTGGTCATTATGGATTATTTTATATTTGTTTAATAAAACAAAGAAACACATAGAGAAAGCATTCAATTCCACTTTGGGTTGAATAGATGCTTGCAATTTCTCACCACATCTGTATTACTTTCATAATACCCCTTAAAGAGCAACAGTGATTCTTTTATAAGGTGTCATCTTACCTTTGTTAAAAGATCAGTTATTGTACAAAAATTTCCCCTATGTATTAAAGGTTTGCAGTAAATAATTACATTTTGATACATGCTACAACACAGATGAGGCTTGGAAACATGGGAAGCGAAAAAAGACACAAAAGAACGAAAACAGTATCCCTTTCCACATACATAAGGGACCTAGAATAAGCAAATTCATAAAGAACAACAATAAGGGGACCGGCAGATGGTGTAATGTTAAGAACACTGGACTTCCACATGTCTGACCGCAGTTTGAGTCCCAAATCCAGTGGCTTGCTTTCTCATTTACAGCATTTTTATACAATATCAATGAACAAACCAAGGAAGAATTGAAGAAAGTAATCTCATTTACAATAGCCACAAAAAATTTAATAGTAATAAGATACCTAGGAATAAGTCTAACCAAAGAAATGAAAGACTTCTACAAGGAAAACTATGAAAAACTAAAAAAAGAAATTGAAAATTATATGCAAAAGTGGAAAGTCATCCCATGTTCCCAGATTGGAAGAATATAATAAAAATGTCAATCATACGCAAATTACTTTACAAATTCAATGTAAGTCTGTTCATATTACCAGAGATATTCTTTACAGATATAGAAAAAATAATAATAAAAGGTGTCTGGAACCATAAAAGACCCTGTATCACCAAAGCAATAATGTGCAAAAAGAATAAAGTAGGTGGCATTTCACTTCCTGAATCAAAATATATTACAAAGATGTGATTATCAAAACAGCATGGTTTTGGCAAAAACAGATATGTAGATTAATGAAACAGAATAAACCCCAAAACATACAGGCAACTGACCTTTGACAAAGGACAAAGTATAATCCAGTAGGGAAAAGAAAGTCTCTTCAACAAATGGTGCTGGAAGAACTGGATATCCACTTGCAGAAAAATGAAACTGGACCCTATCTTTCACCGTTAACAAAAGTCATCTCAAAAAAGTTTCAAAGATTTAAATGTAAAATCTCAAACTATAAAACTACTGGTGAAAAGCATAGAAAACTCTCGAAGACTTTGGAGAAGGCAAAGATTTCTTAAATAAGAGTCCGAACGTACAGGCAATAATCCCCAAAATAGACAAGTGGGACTACATCAGGCTAAGAAAAGTTTCTGCATAGCAAAAGAAGCAATAATTAGAATAAAGAGACATACCTCAGAATGGGAGAATATATTTGCAAACTATGCTTCAGATAAAGAACTGATAACCAGAATATACAGGGAACTCAAGTAGCTTACCCACAAAAAAATGAACAACCTAATTTAAAAATGGGCAAATGAGCTGAACATATGAATGGCCAAAAAGCATGTGAAAAAATGCTTAATATCTCTTATCATAAGAGAAATTACAAATCAAACCATAGAAATACCACTAAACCCAATCAGAATGCCTGTGATTAAAAAAAAAAAAAAAAAAAAAAAAAAAAACAAGAGGGCCGGG